CATTAAGAAGAAAAAGGGGCTGGGGCTGGGGCTGAGCGGTAGAGCGTTCTCCTAGCACATTAGAGGCCCTGGGTTCAAACCTTAATAAATAAATAAAATTTATTGTGTCCAACTACAACTTAAAAATAAATATATATTTTTTTAAAAGATGGAGAAAAAGTAGGCTGGGGATATAGCTTAGTTAGTAGAGTGCTTGCCTCCCTTGCACAAAAGTCTGGGTTCAATCCCTAGCACCACAAAAAAAAAAAAAAAGAGGGAAAAAAAAATCAGGTACATGGGCTGGGGATATGGCTCAAGCTGGTAGCGCGCTCACCTGGCATGCGTGCAGCCCAGGTTCGATCCTCAGCACCACATACCAACAAAGATGTTGTGTCTGCCGAAAGCTATAAAATAAATATTAAAAAAAAAACTCTCTTAAAAAAAAAAATCAGGTACAATGGCACCCACCTATAATCCCAGCTACTCTACTCAAGAGACAGAAGCAGGAGGATTACAAGTTTGAGGCCAGTCTGGGTAACTCAGCAAGACCCTGTCTCAAAATATAAATATTTTAGACACCTTGGTGGCACATGCCTGTAATCCAAGTGACTCAGGAGGCTTAGGCAGAAATATCAGAAGTTCAAGGCCAACCTCAGTAACTTAGCAAGACCCTCAGCAATTCAGTGAGACCTCATCTAAAAATAAAAAGGACTGGGGATGTATCTCAGTAGTAAAGCATCCCTGGGTACAATCACCAGTTTATTTATATATATATAAATATATATATATATATATATATATATATATATATATACACACACACACACACACACACACACACATACATACATATATATATATATATATATATATATATATATATATATACACACACACACACACACACATACATACATATACATGTATATATATACATATATTATACATATATATATACATACATACAGATATATAATTTTGTAAAGGAATAAGGATATAGCTCCATGGTACAGCATTTGCCTAGTGTGTGTAAGGCCATGGATTCAATGTTCCATACCACACACACACACACACACACACACACACAGAAAAGTTCACAAACACCTCTATCGACTGATCACTATGTAATTCTCACAACCAGTTGAGGGTAGGCATTGTGATCCCCATGTTATAGGTAAAAAGAATAAAAAAATTAAAAAAAATAAACTTGATGAAATTCTGAGATACCCATATCTTAGTCCAAGGCAAAGGAAGGAAAGAGCTAAGTTTTTTGTTCATTCCATTGTTATCTCAGTTCCTGTTCCCCATGGAAAGGGATCATCTATTAAAAGCTCCATGGGTTGTTTTTCCTAGCCCCTCTCCTCACACCTGAACCCTCAGTTTCTTCCTTATTCCACTCCAGTTCTCCAACCCAACTTTGCTCTTATGTTTATGTCAACTTTATGATATTTTATTGGGCTCAAATTCCAAAGAGTAAACCCCTCGGTTTGGTCTGAGCAGCTCAATAATGAAATTCATCCATTTATTTAACAAACATTTAAAGTGCCCAGGTGGTGGTACATGCCTATAATCCCAGCATCTCAGGAGGCTCAGGCAAGAGGATTTCAAGTTAAAAAGCCAGCCTCAGCAATTTAGCGAGGCACTAAGCAATTTAGCAAGACCCTGTCTCAAAATGAAAAATAAAAAAGGATGTGGCTTAGTAATTAAGCACCCCTGGGTTCAGTTCCTTGGGGGGGGGGGGATTGAAAGTTCCAGGAGTGCTTATTTTGGCAGCATATATACTAAATTTGGACCAATACAGAGAAGATTAGCATGGCCCCTAGAATGACACACAAATTCCCGAAGCATTCCATAACTTTGTTTTCTCTAATAAGTGGATGCTGATCCATAGTTGTGGGGCAGGCAGGAAAAAAAATGAAGAAACTTTGGATTGTGCAGAGGGGAGTGAGTGGAGAGGTGGCACGGTAGGGATGGGAAGGATAGTAGAATAAGATAGACATTATTACCCTATATACATGTATGATTACACTACTGGTGTGACTTAGCACCATGTACAGCCAGAGGAATGAGAAGTTATTCTCCATTTGTGTACAATGTGTCAAAATGCATTCTACTGGACAGGCACCTTGACCCATGCCTGTAATGGGCTTGGGAGCTGAGGCAGGAGGATCTCAAGTTCAAAGCCAGCCTCAGTAACTGTAAGGTACTAAGAAACTCAGTGAGACCCTGTCTCTAAATAAAATACAAAATAGGGCTGGGGATGTGACTCAAGGGTTGAATGCCACTGAGTTCAATCCCAGATACCCCCCCMMAAAAAAAAATGCATCCTACTGTCATGTATAACTAATTAGAATCAAAAAAGAAAATGTCAGGAAATGAGTAAAACATGATCCCTCAAACATCTTCAATTTTCCTAGTGATCTTCTGGAACTTGGGATTAAGAAATAAACCTGGGGGGCTGGGGATGTGGCTCAAGCGGTAGTGCGCTCGTCTGGCATGCGTACGGCCCGGGTTTGATCCTCAGCACCACATACCAACAAAGATGTTGTGTCTGCCAAGAACTAAAAAATAAGTACTAAAAATTCTCTCTCTCTCTCTCCTCTCTCACTCTCTCTTTGAAAAAAAAAAAAGAAAGAAATCTGGGCCAGGGATGGTAGCCCATGCCTGTAATGCTGGTGGCTTGGGAGGCTAAGGCAAGAGGATCACAAGTTAGAGGCCAGCCTCAGCAATTTAGTGAAGCTGTGAACAACTTAGTAAGACCCTGTATCAAAATAAAAAATCAAAAGGATTGGGGATATAGCTCAAAGGTAAAGTATCCTTAAGTTCAGGTCCCAGTATCAAAAAAAGAAGAAAGAAAAGAAATAAGGCTGGAGCTGGATGTTGTGGTGGCACATGCCTGTAACCCCAGATACTCAAGAGGCAGTGGCAGAAAGATGGCAACTTAGAAGCCAGCCTGGTAAAGCTTGGAGAAACTGATGTCTGGGAAGAGGTATCCAGCATCAGATGTTAAGCACCTTCAAATAATTTTGTCACTTCGCACTCTTTCACTCTGCCTTCTGGCTTTGTCCATGGTCATACTTGAAGATGACCACCTCTGGATTTCTCCTCTTGTAACTTGCTGCCTACAACTCAGACATCTGAAAATAGACCTCTCCCCATCCTCACCCATGCAACTTTGAGCCCCTTCTCAGGCATCTAAGATCCTGCAGGTCCAAAGGCATAGGTAGATATTCATAGCTCCAGATTCCTCTCTAAAACATAGTGGCCTCCATGGTTTTTGTTGTTGTTTTGGGTGGAATGAGGGATACTGGAAATACTGGGTATTGAACCCAGGGCCTACATGGTAGGCATATCCTCTGCCAAAGAACTACACCCCCATTCTCTTAAAAAACAAACAGGAGCTGGGGTTGTGGCTCAACAGTAGAGCACTTGCCTAGCACGTGTGAGGCCTTGGGTCCAATCCTCAGCATCACATAAAAATAAATAAATAAAATGAAGGTAWTGTGTCCAACTACAACTAAAAATAATAAATATTTAAAAATTTAAAAAACAAACAAACTTTATTTTGAGGGCTGGGGTTATGGCTCAGTGATAGAGCACTTGCCCAGCACATGTGAGGCACTGGGTTCGACCCTCAGCACTGCATAAAAATAAATCAACAAAATAAAGGCATTGTGTCCATCTACAACAAGAACAACAAAAAATTAATAAAATTAAAAAAAATAAACACTTTATTTTGAGATAGGATCTTGTTAAATTGTCCAGGTTTGTCAAATTTGCATCTTCCTGCTTTAACCTTGGGATGACACCAGGATGAAAGGTGTGCCACCCTGCCTGCTACTGTGCTGGGGCTTCCTCATTATTTTGTTCTTCATTTTATGTTAATTAATTTATTAGTTTATTAATTATTTTGGGAGGTACTGGGGATCGAACCCAGAGCACTCTACCACTGAGCTACATCCCCAGCCCATTAAATTTTTTTGTTTTGAGACAGCGTCTTGCTAAATTGCCAGGCTGGCCTCAAACTTGCAATTCTCCTCTCTCAGCGTCATTAGTGGACAGGATTGCAGGTGTGTACCACTAAGTCTGGCTCCTCATGTCTTCTTCTTTAGCTACCTCTGGCAGATGGGGCTCTTTTGGACTCAAGTTCTTCACCTTCTCCCTTTTGGGCTCTCTGTGCTCCCACCAAGGTTGACTCTTGTGGCTGTCACCCCTTCCCTCAGGAGTCTGCTTTTGCCCTGATCCTTTGGTCTGCCTTCTCAGGGGCTCCCTTGGTATCTCCCAGTCTGTGGCCCTCTCCCTTTGTCTTTCCAGGGTACTGGTCTCTGTCCTATCGGTTCCTCTGACCCTGTTCCCATCTCTATGTCTTTCTGGTCTGCTCTGTAGACCTCAGTCTTCCCTTGTTTAGCCGCACCTCTCTCTAGACATTCCTTTATCTCTGTCTCTGATTCTCTCCACCCTAACTCTACCCCTTCTCTTATTCTAACTAAGTCTCTCACCTCTGTCTAGTCCCATCCGACTCTTCTTTTCCCTCCTTTGTCTGTCTCTGTCTCTCTTACCTCTCTTCCTGTCTCTCTGGATTTGTCTCTTCTTCCCTTATCCCTCCAGTCTCTCCTAGGTCTCTCTGACTCTGACTTTCCCTCTATACCTACCCCCTCCCCCTCTCCTGTCTCTTCACCTTTCTCTGGGCCCTTGCTCCCTCGCTCCCTCCCTCTCTCTTTTCCTCCGCTCTCTCCGGCTCCCTCTCTCGCCTCGGATGACAGCGCTACCTCTTTTGTTGGCTCCGCAGCCAATCGCGGCCGCTGACGACACGGGGGCCGGGGCTATAAAGGGCCTGGCCCGGGCTCGGGCCCCCCCAGCCGCCCGCCCCGGCCGCCCGCCCGCCCCGCCCGCGCGCCCGCCGCCCCCGGCCCCCCCGGCCCCCCCTCGGCCGGGCAGCCCCCAATCCCGCGCCGCCCGGACCCCCTCCTCCTCCCTCCCTCTTCCCTCCGCCCCCTCCCTGCGGGACTCCGGCGTCCCCGCCCCCCAGTCCTCCTCCCCTCCCCTCCAGCATGGTGCTCGCGGCCCCGCTGCTGCTGGGCTTCCTGCTCCTCGCCCTGGAGCTGCGGCCCCGGGGGGAGGCGGCCGAGGGCCCCGCGGCGGCGGCGGCGGCGGCGGCGGCGGCGGCGGCCGGGGCCGGGGGGGAGCGTTCCAGTCGGCCGGCCCCGTCCGTGGCGCCCGAGCCGGACGGCTGCCCCGTGTGCGTGTGGCGGCAGCATAGCCGCGAGCTGCGCCTGGAGAGCATCAAGTCGCAGATCCTAAGCAAACTGCGGCTCAAGGAGGCGCCCAACATCAGCCGAGAGGTGGTGAAGCAGCTGCTGCCCAAGGCGCCACCGCTGCAGCAAATCCTGGACCTGCATGACTTCCAGGGCGACGCGCTGCAGCCCGAGGACTTCCTGGAGGAAGACGAGTACCACGCCACCACCGAGACCGTCATTAGCATGGCCCAGGAGAGTAAGTGGGCTTCGGGGCTCAAGCGGTGCGTTGCTGGCTCGGCTCTGGGAAGGGCGCCTCTGGCTTCCAAAGCCGGGCGCTCCCGGCTGCTTCGGCCCGGAAGCGTTTTCTGCGAAAACTTGATGGATTAGGGACCCGGGGCTATTCCACAGAACTTTTTTCCAGCGGTGAAGCTGGGCAACGGAGTTGTATGCAGGCCCTGTTCCTGGAGGTGGGAGGGGGCAAACGCGACGGGTTGCAAGATACTGCCTCCCAACCCCGGTGTGCGAGAAAGACCCCCGTTAAAGGAGTCGGGGGCGGGGGGAAGCTGAGGCCCGCAGCTTTGGGGACTAGGCAGACACTCTGTCCTGAAGGGCCACGGGTGGGGATGACTAGAGAACAGAATTGGGAGGCTCCCAGCTGGGCCGCAGTACTCTGTGTCTTCCCATCGTCCTGGCACCAACTCCCCGCCCGATGCTCCGCAACGCGCCCACCCGGCTCCAGAGAACCGAGTGCCCCTCTCTGTCCCAGGAATAGGATCCCAGAACCCAGTGTTCCTCCTGGCAGCCCAGCTGGCACCCTTTTCATCCTGAGCCGTGTCTCACACTGGGTATCCCAAGGGGCCAGGAAAACTGTCTTCTTGGTACCGACCGATCTCAAGATAACTCCATTGCGCTGGGGGCTTAAGGATAATCATTTGGTTACTTAAACCTCAGTGTTCCGTCCCTTATTCACCGGGCCCGATGGCAACTGGACTTGAGAGAGAGGAAGACCCAAGGGAGAATGAGAAAGAACTGGACGGGTGTTGGGGGAGACCCAGGCATCCGAGTCCCTGGCTTAAGGAAGCTGAATACTGAACACGTTAATAGACATGAGCTGCTTTGAAATTTTATGGCCTGGAAAATCCAGGCCAATACCACTACCCCCAACTCTATCTCTCCCTAAGGTCAGGTGACTCCTTCTTCCCCTCCCCCACTGAGTCTCCCCTGACTCTTCAACTCCAGGGAACCAAGCCCTCTCTTATTCCCTGGTGGTTTGGCAAGGTCCCCCACCCCCCAGTTTGGTTTATGGCTCTGAACAGAAGAGGGGGGAGACTGGTTTATTGGCAGATGGGTAATAAAAAGCTGGGGGCTGAGGGTCCTAGTGGCCCACATTCATAGGAGAGGCACAGGAACCCAGGTGTGCATCTGGGAGGTTTAGTACCTGGTAATGCCAAATGTGTTTCTGTAGAACTCAACAGTACTTAATCAGGACTGTAAAGAAAACTAACCAGGAAAACTAACTGGATTTGTGTGTGTATGTGTTTGTATGTGTGTTTGTGTGCACGCGCACACAGGCAAGCTATGCACCCCGCACCAAGGGCTGGAGATCTAATCCTCATTTCCTCAGTCTCCCTTCTGCTCCTTTTAAGACTTCTGCTTGTGGAAGCTGGGGTCAGTCTGAGATTGACCTAGGGCAGGGGTGGGGGTGGGGGTGGGGATTCTAGGAAACAGTAGTAGAAGAATTCTGATCAAGAGTTTGCTGGAAGAAGATGGAAGGATACAGAGGGAAAAGATGCTCTGGTCTGTGTGGTATAGTGTGTGAGAATTCCCAGGATGGGTGACAGGGCCTTGGACTTCCCCTTGCTCCTCACTATGCCTAGCATTCCTTAGCTATAGGTCTGAGCTCAGAATTAGCTCTATAGTGGGGATGTGGGAAGTGAAGGGACCCTGCATGCATGGATGGGGCAATGAAGGTTAAGACTGAAGGAGGTACCAGCAGTTGGGGTCTCACCCCAACTTCCACTCTTGTGCCACCAACGCAGCACTTGGGTAACTAGGGAACTGGGTCTCCAGCCAGGTATTGTACGTCCCCTTTAAGAGCCTAGCTGAGCTCTTAAGAGAGGGAGGGGGAGTGGAGGGAGGGGGGAGGGAGAGAGGGGAAAAGGAAAAAGAGACTTTTATAGTCTAATCCCCAGGGACCCGCTTTAATAAGAGACTTGTGCTCTGCTAATCGGGGGAGGTGTTTGTCAGCAGAGATGGCCTCTGCTCCCCTCCCCCTGTCTCCCCTCCCCCAGCCTTCAACCCTGGACCCCAGCCCCCACCTCGCCTAGACTGCTTTGCTTGTCCTAGTTCCTTCTACCCTCTCAGGCTCTCCCACCCCAGCCTTCATCCTGGGAACCCAGCCCCCTGCCCTTCTGGGAGCCGAGCCCAGCCCCTCAGTTTCTCTCTCCTCCCCATACTGAGAGGCCCCTGCCCTCTCAGCCCAACCTCCTGCCCCTAGGCCTTCTAGCCTGGGTTGGAAAAGGGTGTGTAGTTGGGGGTGGAAAGGGGAGGCCCTAAGTAAGGAGGGGGTTGGGCTTTTGCTGAAAATAGTGCAATGACCTCTCTCCCCCAGCAGCACCGCCTACTAAACCTGACCTGCTGCCTGCCACCAACCAGATCAATCCAACACATATGTGGCCCCCTCCCTTTCCCATCAGAGCTGTTAAGGATTCTCTCAAGCCCCTTTCCCTCTATAGCTCTACCTGCTTATTCTTTGTTTCTCTCTCTCTACCTTTTGTGTCCTCTTATCTTTACCCCATCAGGTTTAGCTCCCTCCCACCTCTAACTTTTTAACCACCACCCACTCCTTTCTACTCAACCCTGGTGTTCTCCAACTCCCAAACTTATTTCTTCTCACACCACAATCTTTCTGCAACCTCCGTTTCTCTGCCTCTCTCTACTAACCTGACTTCATTCCTGGATCTTCTTGATTCTTACTTCCCTCACCTTCTCCAGTCTTTCCTGACTCTTCACCTTTCTCTTTACTTTCTCCCTATGTCCTGCCCCTAGTAGTACTGACTAGTCTCCCATCCAGTGTAGAAGTGTATGAGGATTCCCTGGGATGGGCAATCCTTTATCTGAAGGAACCAAAGGATCAAGTGCCCAATCCCTCACCTTCAAATCTTAGGTCAGCTAAAGGTAGTAGGGTATGTTTAGAGTTTAGAAAACCAAACATTTATTGAGAAACTACTACTATTTTCACATTCTTTAATGCTCAGCACCTAAATCAAGAATCATTACTATCATACCAAGAAGTCTATGGGAAAGGTCAGATGAGGAGTCAAACAGTGGTTAAACCCACTTCAATGTAGCCAAGGACAGTTTAGGAAGAACTCTCAAGCACTTGCCTGTGTAACTGAAAATTGGGAGTTCATTCAGCATGTATTTATTGAATACTTCTTGGTACTATGGGAAGCACTAAAGCTACAGTGGTGAGTAAAATAGTGTCCACCCTCAAAATGAGTATCTTAATAGCAAGAAATAGACATTTCCTATGCCTAAATTGGGCATAATATGCTATTTGGATTGTTGCTTGTCATTCCTGAGCTCACCAGTAGCTTCCTTGCTCCAGCTACTCTCCTAATCTCTGAATTTCCATTCCCCAAGCCCCACTCTATTACGTCATTACTGAAGCTCCAGCCAGTAGGATAAATGGGAGGACTAACAGAACACTGCACCTCAGAGAAACAAGGAAGACAATGATGCAGAGGACTTTGTGTATTGTGACCTAAAATATGAAGATTACAAAGGACTTTCTTCCTATCCTATTCAGAAGGTCCTCCTCTCCTGGAGTGAAGCGGGAAAGTGTTCATGGATGTTAAGTCCTCCATGACTACACAGAATGTAACGTGGGCATAATACCTAAGGGCCTACCTGGACTTCTGCATCATAGCCATATGGGACTGGAAAAGCTCATTCCAGATTCTTCTTATCTAGAATGAGAATGGTCATTCTTGAGAAACATGATTCAGGGCATTCCCAAACTATCGAGATTAGGAAATGGAACTGGAAGAAGCTGGGAGCACAGGGATATATTGAGCATCATCTTTAATCCCCAAGGTTTAATTTATGGTCCAGAACAAGGGGGAAAAGGTCAAGAAGTGAAGTTGGGATACTGAACCTCTGTAGACTTGCTGGTGGTCCTGGACCAAAAAAAAAAAAACACACACACACACACACACACACACACACACACAAAGGAATCTCAGGGGAGAAAAAGCTACTGAATTTTGTTTGTCGTGCTAGGGATTGAACCCAGGACTTCATACATGCTGGGCAGTTCCTCCACCACTGAGCTACATACATCCCCATCCCTTTTTTCCCCTAAGTTTTGAGACAGGGTCTTGCTAAGTTGCTAAGGCTGGTCTTAGACTTGCCATCCTCCTGCCTTAGCCTTCTTGAGTAGCTGGTATTACAAGTGTGCACCAACTGTACCCTGCTGATTATAGTTGATATGGTATGTTGAATTATTGTTTTGTTTTTGTGGTGTTGGGGATTGAACCCAGGGCCTTGTGAATGAAGGTAAGCATTCTACCAACTGAGCTATATCCCCAGCCCGAATTATTATTTCTGATGCTTTGGGAAAGTAGGAAGAAACACAATTTTTCCCTCCCTCAAAATCTGAAGCACTAATGGTGATGATGATGAGAAAGCAGCTAAGGAAACTTCTTTTTAGGAGAAAAAGGAATGAGGAGTCAGATGCATAGGATATGCTTGGGTAGTTTCATTCTGGTGCTACCGGGGATGACACAAGCCTTCATGGATTTCAATTCTGGTTTAGTTTATAAGATAAATTTAGCCTACATTCCCTCTGGACCCTGAGTTATATTCTCTGAGGCCACTTTTTTTTTTTTTTTTGCCGGGGGGATGCCAGATTCCACCTGCCCATCAGACAAATCAGCAGAAATGGGGCAAGGTGACCTAAGGACAGCAGGTGTGGTAAGAGGTATGGCCTCTATGAAGAGCTTAAAGATTCAGAAAAAGTTGGAGCCTTACATTCTGGGAATAGTTAGGGAAGGGGAAGGGAGAATTCCCTGATAATTACCTTTACAGGTTAAAATGTAGAGGGGAACCTGTGTATTAGAATAAATAAATGGATTAGGGAATTGGTACAGATTAGTAAGGATTGATAGAGCCCTCATCCAAAGTGAGGAGGCAGTTTTCAGTACCTGAAACCCCATACGGATAATCCATAAGATAGTCACAGGAGAAGGGCAAAAGCTGAAACACTCAGGCTGAGGAGTCCAAACTGCCAAAGCCACCCAGGGCTGCTGATCCTTTCTACAAATACCCTTTGCTGATGTTGTGCTCCCTTCTCTCTTATCAGCGGATCCTGCAGTGCAGACAGATGGCAGTCCTCTCTGTTGCCATTTCCACTTCAGCCCCAAGGTGATGTTCACAAAGGTACTGAAGGCACAGCTGTGGGTGTACCTTCGGCCTGTGCCCCGCCCAGCCACAGTCTACCTGCAGATCTTGCGACTGAAACCCCTAACTGGGGAAGGGACCGCAGGGGGAGGGGGTGGAGGCCGCCGTCACATCCGTATCCGTTCACTCAAGATTGAGCTGCACTCGCGCTCAGGCCACTGGCAGAGCATCGACTTCAAGCAAGTGCTACACAGCTGGTTCCGCCAGCCACAGAGCAACTGGGGCATCGAGATCAACGCCTTTGATCCCAGTGGCACAGACCTGGCTGTCACATCCCTGGGGCCAGGAGCTGAGGGGCTGGTGAGCAGGGGGCCTGAAGTGGTGGTGGATATGTGTATCCTGGCCCTGAGGAGGTGGGGATGTTAGAAAAAGTAGACTAGGAACATAAAGGGAGGTGGGGACCAGTATTACTTCTCAGGCCAGGAGCTGATTCTAGATGAGTTGGAGGATGGGGTGGCAACTGTCACTTTTCAGGGAACCAAGCCAGGCAGTAGCTGAAAACTGGATTTGGGGTAAAGGTGTCAGATAATGGAACCCAAAAACTGGACATTGATGAGGCCCTGAGCCAAGGGGCTGATGAAGGTCAGGTTGCCAGGACAAAGAACTAGGGAAGGCTGAGTTGAGAGATGATAGATGGCAAGAAAAGTGAGTTGAAGATAAGGTGGGGTGGGTGGGGCAATGGAAAAGCCAAGTCAATGGTTTCTGTTCTGATGCCACTATTGAGAGGCAGATGGGGGGGGGGGGACAGGGAAGAACTTTTCAGGGCTATGTCACATCTCTTTCCCCTCTCCCTGACCTTCAGCATCCTTTCATGGAGCTTCGAGTCCTAGAGAACACAAAACGGTCCCGGCGGAACCTAGGCCTGGATTGTGATGAGCATTCAAGCGAGTCCCGCTGCTGCCGATATCCCCTCACAGTGGACTTTGAGGCTTTTGGTTGGGACTGGATCATCGCACCTAAGCGCTACAAGGCCAACTACTGCTCCGGCCAATGCGAGTACATGTTCATGCAAAAGTATCCGCATACCCACTTGGTACAACAGGCCAATCCGAGAGGCTCTGCTGGGCCCTGCTGCACCCCTACCAAGATGTCCCCAATCAACATGCTCTACTTCAATGACAAGCAGCAGATTATCTACGGCAAGATCCCTGGCATGGTGGTGGATCGTTGTGGCTGCTCCTAAGGTGGGGGACAGTGGATGCCTTCCCCACAGACCCTACCCTGAGACCCCAGCCCTGGCCCCCATCTCCCCAAGCCCTAGAGCTCCCTCCACCTCTTCCCATGAACATCACACCTTGTTCCCTGACCAAGCAGTGTGCAATACAACAGAGGGAGGCAGGTGGGGGTTGAGGGACAAGGGGTTGGGGAAACGGGAAAGGAGGGACAGACATAGTTAGGGTGGAGTGTTTGATGTTTGCAGGTAAGAAGGTTTGGCAAGAAGAGAGAGAGATGTAGAGACAGAAGTACAGAGGGATAGAGACAGGAACAAACAGCAACATTGAGAAGGCAAAGGAATAGAGAGAAGAGATAAGAGACTAGACAGAGACAAACAATGAGAAAGAGACAGAAATGGAGTAATAAATGAAAGCCCCACACCAAGCCTCCTTTCTTCCACTGGCAAGGTGAGGGGCTTGGTATAGTTTGGGGAGATCCCCTGACTATCCAGTAGGAGAGGAAATAAAAAATCCATTCTTAGCATCTTCCCTCTCCCCCTACAACAATAACCAGGGGAAGGGAAGCAAGGGCAGGGGCAAAAGTAAGGATTTGGGAATTTTATTTATTTATTTATTGTGACTTTTCTTTGTTTTTTCTTTTTATTTTTGGGTACTTGGCTTTACTGGAATAGGAGGGCCCCTGCCCACTATGCCCCATTTGTCCCTTATGCCCCAAACCCTGCTCTTCCCCAATACCCACCCACTTAAGCACTTGTATAAAGCCTCCAGGGTTGGGAATGGGAGTAAAGGGCAAGAGGGCTGATATATGTGTTTCTAACCCATAAGCAACCTAACTAACCAAATGGGTTGAACTGAGTGGCCATGGAAATAGTACAAGATTGGCGTTTAAGAGCTGAGGGAGGGGAAGTCCTCAACATCCAGGATCTATGAGAGCGCCACTAAACTAACCCTCAGACCCACCTTCTCCAAGGTATTGATTTAGCCAGAGGGTATAGCCTGTTTATGCCCAAATTACCCTCAGCCGAGAGAGACCAAAGAGCCTGTGGAATGCCCCTGCTCCCAGCCTCTATCTTCAGGTCAATAAAAGAGTAGAGACCCCAAAGTCCCTCAGGTCTGGGTAAGATTATAAAGGGTCAAGAAAGGAATAATAAGGAGGCTGAAGGTTACAGGGCATTTGAATCCAAATCACTGCTCTGGGCTAGGGAATAGAATCTGTAGACCAAGGTGGAAGGGATTCTGGAAGGGGGACATTTTAGTCCCCCACCCCCCAAAGCTCAGGGTGGAAGGAGGGAGAAAAAGGGAGCAGAGTGTCTATATAATTTTTAATCTTTTATTTTTGGAGTATAGAAGTACCTGGAAGCAGGGAGGGGATAGTACAGTGGGGAAAGGCAGCTGACAAGGCCAGTTGACAGCAAAGAATGGGAAGGAAGGAGATTCCCTGGTTTGAAAGGCTAGGAAGCAGGCAGAAAGTAGTTGCCACTTCATCTCACTAGCTGGGCCAATTCATTCCTCCCATAATCCTGACTCACTCTCCTCTGGACTCACTGTGCCTCAGTTTCTTCCCCTCGATGGAATGAGAAATAGCAGCACCCGCCACAGCCAAGAGATGAATTCTGAGCACTTACCACGGGCACTTTATGGACATAAAATACCTCTCGCTGTGGGACAAGATAACCAGGGCACCAGAGTAGTGGTGAAGATATGTGAGGCTTAGAGGAGTCACAGGCTTCAGAGAGTACAAGTTCCCCTGCCTCCCAGATGGACAGTGCCTGAAGCCAAGGAGTTGAGAATCTCCACACCCTATCCATACCTCACCAGCAGATCTCTTGGCTCCAGGCAAGAGCCTAAGGATGTCAGGAAAGCAGGGGGTAGGCTGGGGGGGGGGGCGCGGAGACCTACAGCAAAATGGTACTCTTAAGTAGAGCCAGCAGTTATGGTCTGGTAGAAACAGTACTGAACTGAAGTAAAGCCTGAGGTGGAGAGCAGACCTGGAAGGCTTATTCTTCCTGAGCACATGTCTCTCCTGCTTGGACCAGACCACTGAAGGGGCAAAGGTATGGTGACCATGCTTGGGAAGGTGATGCTGGTGAAATTTAACATCTTACTTCTATTCTCATAGTGAGAAAATGAGATAAGGTGTTTCAGTAGAGGAATGAACAGGGACTGTCAAGCTTTTCAACTCACCTTCTACATTGCAGCTATGTTAACCCCAAGTCTCTCCTCTCTCGCCCTATTCTTCACCCTTCTGCCCCAGTCTTGGAGAACAAGACACACCTGACCATTCACATTTCTTTGGTAGAAGGAGAGGAGCAGAAAAGTGAAGAATAGCACATGCTTCCCCGCAAGGTCAAATACCTCTTGATCTTGGGACAGGGTGGGGACTGGGCAATAAACATTAGGTAACTTCCCTCTACAAAATCTAAACAGCTAGGGCGTTAAACTTGGGGGACACTTAAAAAATTGCCCTTTAATACCACCAAATAGAGACCTTTGCAGAGTCAGGAAAGCAGTCATTTCTCTTAGGAATATAAATCTGAGTTGAAATTGCAGTCCCCTGTTCCTCCCTATCCCCAAAGAGGCATGGGATAGAAAAGCTTGGAGACACAACCCAGCAACCCAGTGGGGGCTGGCACCCTTCCCCCACCTTATGTGTGTGGACCTGGCCAGTGCCCCTCTGAACGTATCATTACTGGTGTAATTATTTACTTTGTGTATTTGTTACATCATGTGTGTGATTGCCTTTGTTAAGGGTGTCTTAAGGAGTATGGGGCTGACTGGGGCACTGGAATGCCAGGAAAGGACTTCTTCACTGAGATCAAGGCTTCCTCGAGGGAACCACTGCAAAAAGGCCATCAGGTAGTTTTCAAGTTATGTGACAGAGGGCAAAGATGGCCATAGGGTGCTCTGAGTTTTGGGATGGTCACATGACACAATCCAGCACTTGAACCTGAAAAAAGAAAAATAAAAGCAGTCAAAGAGTTTAGAAATCAGTGCCAAGCTCTTCTCCCTAATCAAGCGCGACATTTATACTTGGGAGACCAGGAATTGAAGAGGATCTAAGAGAGGAAACCTTTTGCTCTAGGACTAAGAAGATGGGGTCCTTGGAGCAAGAGAAAAACCACTACGGATCTGGGTGTGTGGTACATACTTGTAACCCCAGCAACTCAAGAGGCAGAGGCTGAAAGATCACAAGTTTGCAGCCAGCCTCATCAATTTAAATAGACCCTGCCTCAAAATTTAAAAAAAAAAAAAAAAAAAGGACTGGGGATGTATGTGGCTCAGTGGTAGAACACCCCTGGGTTCAATCCATGGTAATGCAAACAACAATAAAACACAAAAATGCTTGTGGGATGAGGGTTGGGATATGTAGTCCAAGACAGATGGACAAAGGATGAGAAAGGAAGGGGAGTTCCTTTCTCTGGAGAGCTTGATTCAAAACAGTCCCCCAGATTATAAAACTCTCCCAGCCTTCATAGAATAGGAAATCTGAAGTTTTCTTAAGACAATCCAGCTAATGTCTGCTATTCTGCAGTCCCTACTCCTAGGTTTCCTCAACAGTTTCACCAAAATTCATGAAACAAACTGACAGTTGTTTGCTTTGTCTGCAAAAAAAGTGATTAAGCATTTCAAACAATCTTTGAGCCCACTATACCTAGAGGGCAATTTCCAGGATGTTACAAGTTGGGGGTGGCAAAACAACCTTGCCTGACAAATAATAACATAAGGAAAGCTCCTGTGACACCAGCATGATCCAGAACAGGCAGCAAGGATACTAAGGGTTCAATGTGCCATCATGCTTTCCCTGCCTTGTTCATTCTACTACCAGACTGACCCCACCCTATACCAACTACAAAACAAGTTGAGACTGGGCAAGTAACTACAGTGTTGTGCACTGTATCATCCCTTAGGGAACTGCTTTATCTACAGTTCTATCCCTAGCTTTTGGCCTGAGTCAAAATGGTTTTCCCCTCACTACTCAAAGGAATACAGAAGAAATTGTAAGATGAGTTTTAAGTCTTTTCTCCTATTCCCAAAACACCCTCCAAGAAGTGCATCAGGAGCTATCCTATCATTAGTCTTTGCCCAGTTTTCGTATGTGAGGGGCATGCCCCAAGCTAATAAACAGCAAGCAGTGTAACATTTAGTCTCTGGTGGATAGTGGGGCAGAAGTAGGAAAGTCAATGCTCCAGGTAACAATGTTAACTTTCCTACCCATAAGCTGAGGATTAAGAGAAGAACTGGAACTCTTCCCCCATCTTTCTAGTCTCCAAACTCCCAAATACAATTGCATAAGCACATGTATGCGTACATACACAGGCCCAAACTCACCCCCCATTCTTTATCTAGAATCTGTTCAAGTGGGGAAAAAAAGTGTTCTTATCCTACTTTTATTTTACCCTTATAAAATTAAGAGCTAATATTTTTTCAATGATTATTAAGCATTAACTATGCTAAGCAAATTATGCTGAGTTCATAATATGAAAGTATTAATTTTCACAGCAACCTTCATAATACTGATACAGAGTCTGGAGAGAGTCACAGAATTAAGTAATTTGCCCAGGGTCATAGAGCTAGTGTGACAGAATAAGAGATTAAACCTAAATAGTTACTACATACATTACACTCTATTAATAGTGATATAAGAGAAAACAAAATACAGGGACAATAGAGAGGAAAGAGATGACAAAGTCAGGAACAAGACGGTTCAAAGGGTCTGCAAAGGAATGCAACCTTTTATTTTCAGTCCTCTTGGAGGAAAAAACAAGAAGAATCTGGAAACAGCAAGAGAAAGGGAGATCAGAATGTGTGTGTGTGTGGGGGGGGGACTTCAATAATCAGAAGTGACAATGCCTGTCAGAGGCCTCATGTAAGAGAACAGGGAAGCAAAGTACAATGATACACACCTGTAATCCCAGCTACTCAGGAAACTTGAGTCTGAAGGATCCAAATTCGAGGCCTGGGTAACTTAATGAGATCCTATCTCAAAATTTAAAAAGGCTAGGGATGTAGCTTGGTGGTAAAGTGCCCTTGGGTTCAATCCTCAATACTGGAGGGGGGTGGGGAGCAGAGAAAGGTATTCTCTCCTAAGTTCCTCGCTACCCCATCTGTTTCTCATGTTAGACACAGCAAGAGGACTCAGCTCAACACTAAGAAGAGGTCTGGCACAGTGGGGTATATTCATAGTCCCAGCTACTCAGTAGGCTGCAGCAGGAGAATTGCCAGTCTGAGGCCAGCATGGGCAACACAGGCAACATAGAGTAATGCTGTCTCAAAATACAAAAACAAACAACAAAACACCAAGAAGCTCTGCCCTTATTCACCCCTTCCTTCCATAGCCTTTGCCCACACTGAAAGTTTTAGTCTTCTGGGGGGAAGGGCAGCTTAGGGTGATGGTGGTGAAGACAATGATCCTAGAGAACCATAAAAAGGTGCAGATTTACAGCTAAGGAAGCTTGTTCTCTCCACAGCTTTTATAGACTCCCTCATTAACAGCCTCCAGGTATGCGGAGAATGTCACAGCTTTACAGCAAGGAAAAGACTGGAGTCAGCTAACTACAGGAGTGAGACTCAGGGATAAGAAGGAAGGAAAGATATTTGGATCCCAGATAAGAATTATAAGCCCAGGTGTCTATTCTGTTAGGCAAACAAAAAGGACTTTTTTTTTTTTTTTTTTTTTTTTGGTGCTGGGAATTGAACCCAGGGCCTCAGCATTCTACTGACTGTGCTATATCCCCAGCCTTGGACTTACTGTTTTAAATTCAGGGGGGAAAAAAAATCCTAATTTTGAGCATTCTATACTATTCATGCTCAAAAAGTTATGTGTGAAATGACTACACTGAGACAGTGGTCAGGCTTGGAGGTTATAGTCTTTTGACTGACATAGGAAAACATGGCATCAAAGATCTGAGGAAGGTGGGCATGGTGGTACATGCCAGTAATCACAGCAACTCAGGAAGAAGGATCACAAATTCAAGGCCAGTCTTGGCAATTTAGAGAATCCCATCTCAAAAACTAAAAAGGGTTGGGGATGCAGTTCCGTGGCAGAATGCTCTTGGGTTCAAACCCCAATACCACTAAATAATAAATAAGTGGGAAGTGAAGAATTGAGCTAAGTAAAGAGAATGATGAAGTGTAAAGAGTAAAGAATCTAGCGAATAAGGCTGAATACATTTCTTTCTGTAAGGTTGTAAAGACTAAACAGACAA